GATACATTCTGAGATATTTACAAATATCTCATGTCATGAAATGACATGATGTCCAGAATTTATTTTTAAATAACCTAAGGATGGGAAGGGAGGGTGGAGTGTATGGGGGTGCACGTGAAAACAAGTTTGGCCATGAGTTGATCACTATTGAATCTGGTGATGGCAACATGAGAGCATTGTACTAATTTACTTTAACATATGAAATTTTCCATAATAAACATCTAAAAACAACAAAAACAAAAATCAACTTGAAGTGGCTCCCACTGGCCAAGGATGAAGACAACTTGAACATCAAAAAGGAAAATGACTCCAAAAGACTGAAACAGATCAAAATACATTTAAACACTTATGTTTATATAGTAAATACATATTAAAAACCCTCACTGGCCACCTTCACAGATTACAATGACAACCAACTCATTCTAAAAGCTGGTAAATAAAGGAAAAGAATTAAGTATTTATCCTACCTTCTCTATACTAACTGTATTTCAAAGGAACTAAATAGTAGATGCAAGAAATTTCTTTTTAGATATCCAATTAATAAGTGGAGGAGTGAAAGCATTAAAAAATTACCATTTTGAAACCTTTATGGGATCTAGGCAATGATCATTAAGAGCTGCTAAAAGCAACTCGTGAAAGGCTGACAGGGAACTTCATAAAAATTGATGGGGTTAAGAACATCTGAACTTAGAGATCATGATTGCTTTTCATTTTTTTAACTTTATATTATGTAAATTTTCAAACATACACAAAAATGCAAAGGATATAATGAACTCCCATGCACCTATTACCCAGCTTTAATATTTATCAACTCATGGCAAATACTCTACCATCTATACCCAATTCCTTTCTATATTCAATTATTTTAAAACCAATCTCAGACATATTTCATCCATAAATACTTCAGTATGTATCTTTTTTTAAAGATTTTATTGGGGAATTGGGGGAGGGGACCAGTGTTGGGGAATTGGGAAAGGGGACCAGCCAAGTTGTTGTTCTTCAATCTTCACTGAGGAGGGCGCCAGTCGCCATCTGGCTTCCTGTTGGCAGCTCATGGCCTCCAAGCTTAAGGTGCTGTGTTCAATCTTAGTTGCTGGTGGGCATAGCCACCATCCCATGCAGGAGTCAAACCAGCAGTCCTGCTGCCAAGAGCACACACTCCATGCCCCGAGCCATCTGGGCAGCAGCTCAGCTCGAGGTGAAGTTCAGTCTTAGTTGCAGGTGGGCATAGCCCACCATAGAACAGGCAATCTTGTTGTTATACCAGCTGAGCCATCCTGCCACCTGTTGGCAGCTCAGCAGCAGCTCAGCTTGGGCGCAGTGTCACTGGCCCATGTGGGAATCGAACTAGCGGCCCCACTGCTCATAGCTCATGTCCTTAAGCCAACTCTTAACCAACTGAGCTACTGAGCCACTCAGCCGGCCTCTGTATGTATCTTTTTTTTTTTAAAGATTTTTATTGGGGAGTTGGGGGGATGGGGACAGTGCTGGGGAATTGGGGGAAGGGGAACAGACAAGTTGCTGTCGCTTTGCTCTTCAATCTAGTTGTGGAGGACATTGCTTCACTGGCCCAAGTTGGCACCATCATTGCGCTCTTCCCAGGCGAGGCAGATCAGTTGCCCGTTTCTGGACGGCAGCTCACAGTGGCTGCTGGCCGCTCACGCTGGCTGCTGGCTACACACGGTAGCCCATGGCAACCCACTGCCACAGAGGCTGCAGCCTACACCATCGCTGGCGACCCACGGCAGCCCAGCTCCAGGTCGAGCCGCTGTTCAGCATCTTAGCTGTGGAGGGCAGTGTCACTGGCCCTCACATGTGGGATCCGAACCGGGGCCCTCTGGCATCCCGAGCCAGCTCTTAACCATCGCGCCACTTGGCCGGCCCTGTATGTATCTTTAAAACGGGGCTTCTGAATCTCAGCACTACTGACATTGGGCCAGATGACTCGATGCTGTGGGGGCCATCCTGTGCACTGTAAAGTATTTAGCAGCATCCCCGGTGTCTACCCACTAGATGTCAGTAGTACTCTCCGCCCAGTTGTGACAAGTGGGTGTGACAAGAGTATCTCCAGACATTACCAAATGTCCCCTAGAGATTCAAAATCTACCCCACCTCCATTGAGAACCACTGTTGTGAAAGATAGGATGGTTTAAAAATAAAACCCAATACCATTAACTCACCTAAAAATATTAACAGCAATTCATGAACATCATACATTATGTGGTCAGTGTTCAAATCATCCTGATTGTTTTATAAAAACTATTTTTACAGGGCCGGCTGAGTGGTGCGATGGTTAAGAACTGGCTTGGGACGCCAGAGGGCCCCGGTTTGGAGCCCACATTTGAGGGCCAGTGACACTGCCCTCTATAGCTAACATGCTGAACAACAGCTCAACCTGGAGCTGGGTTGCCGTGAGTCGCCGGCAACGGCGTAGGCTGCAGCCCCTGTGGCAGTGGGTTGCCATGGGCTACCATATGTAGCCAGCAGCCAGTGTGAGCGGCCAGCAGCCGCAGTGAGCGGCCGTCCAGATGCCAGCGACCGATCTGCCTCGCCCGGGAAGAGCGCAATGATGGTGCCAACTTGGGCCAGTGAAGCACCGTCCTCCACAACTAGACTGAAGAACAAAACGACAGCAACTTGTCTGTTCCCCTTCCCCCAATTCCCCAGCACTGTTCCCATCCCCCCAATTCCCCAATAAAAATCTTTAAAAATTTTTTTTACAGGTTTTTCAAGGCAAGTTCCAAATAAGGCATACATATCGTGATTGGCTGACATGTCTCTTAAATCTAATTTAATCTGTAAGTTCCCCTTCTTCTCTCTTCTTTACAATGAATTCAAGGGAGGGCCACATATTCCAATTAGTTGATCTGTCTCCTATAGTCTATAAAAGTTCTCCCTCTCTATTTCTTTCTTCCCATTTATTTATGGAAAAGACCAGGTCTTTTGTCCTTTAGTTTCCCAAAGTTTGGATTTGGCTAAATGCATCCCTGAGCTTTAATTAAACATGTCCTGGTACCAGTGTTTCATATAATTGGTGGATATAAAGACTTGATCAGATCCTTGTTTGAGTTTTTGGCAAGAATATTGCATAAGCAATGTTAAACACTGATCAATCTTATCATTACATAGAGAGAGAACTGACATTCAATGTCTACTGATATGATGCAAAAGGATGTTCACAAGTACACAGCACCACCTCGGATATATTCTTGCCAAAAATAAAAAATGAACCCTAATCCAATCAAGCCCTCGATTTAACTGCCAGTTTACAGGAAATACAGGGGATGGAAGAACATGTTAAATGACATCATGGGACATAATCAGCCAAATTCAGAATGTAGAAAACTGTGCAGGTCCAATGACCCAGTTTCTTCCATAAATAGGAAGAAAAAAGTAAAAAGGGATTAGAAAATGTTATAGACTAGAAGAGACCAATTTTAACATATGGACCTCACTTTAATCCTGATGCAAACAAACCACAACAACAAAAAAAAGATATTTGGGCCAGCCGAGTGGCTCAGTTGGTTAAAAGTTGGCTTAACAGCGTGAGCTCTGAGCAATAGAGCCGCCGGTTCGATTCCCACATGGGTCAGTGATGCTGCACCCGAGGTGAGCTGTCGCTGAGCTGCCAACAGGTGGGCAGGATGGCTCAGCTGGTGTAACAAGATTGCCTGTTTGATGGTGGGCTATGCCCACCCGCAACTACGACTGAACTTGGCACCTTGAGCTGAGCTGCCGCCCGGATCGCTCAGTGGATAGAGCGTATGCTCTTAACAACAAGGCTGCTGGTTCGACTTCCACATGGGATGGTGGGTACGCCCACCCGCAACTAAGATTGAACACAGCACCTTGAGCTGAGAGGCCACGAGCTGCCGACGGGCAGCCAGATAGTGACTGGCGCCCTCCACAACTAAGATTGAAGAACAACAACTTGGCTGGTCTCCTTCCCCAATTCCCCAACACTGTTGTCCTACCCCAAGTCCCCAATAAAATCTTTAAAAAAAAAAGATATTTATGGGATGTTCATGGAAATCTAAACTTTTACAGATACTACAGAACTATAGTTAAAATTATTTTGGTATGATACTGTGGTTACATTTGTTAAAAAGAGTCCTATGAATGGAATAATATCTGGAATTTGGTTTAAATAGGCCAATGAGGAGAGGGAAGAGTATAAAAAATGAGACTGACTATATGTTGCTAAGTGTTGAAGCTGAGTAATGGGTACCTGGGTTTCATTATAGCATTCTCTCTACTTCTGTGCATGTTTGAAACTTTCCATAATAAAACGTGTTTTAAAAATCAAGTCCCATGGCTATAATGGATTGGAAAGCATCAGAAACTATTTAGGAGTCTCCTGCAGTAGTCCACGTGAGAGATAAAAGCAGCCTGTGCTAGAGATAGTTGAAACAGAAAAAGAGAGGATATTTAGGAGGTAGAATGGATAAGGCTTGGTACACTGAATAGGCAAAGTGAGAGAGGGACTCAAGAGCAAATCAGATTTCTGATTTGAACCTGTGCCTGGCACTGAGAAGAAGGGTCAGATTTGCGGGGGAGGGCTGGCGCTTGAGGTATCTGTGGGACCTAGCAAAGCAATGTCAACTCAAGGTGGGGAGTGAAAGAAAGATCCAGGATGAGAGAAAGCCAAGTGAGAAGGAAAGAGTGCCTGGGACAGAGCACTAAAAAAACCCGAGGCCTAGACGTTCACTGTGCAGGAGCCTGCTCTGTGTGTGTCTGGGCTGAGATGTGTATGTGCGTGGAAGGGGAAGACGGGCAGCAGGCAGGGACCGGGCAACTGGGGATGTGGGAGGAAGATGTGCCGGGCTGTGTGAGCGCGTAGGAGGAGACCGAGGATTGCAACTCGGCCCTCCCTCTCTTGCTAGCTTGCCCCGCCCATCCCTGTCTCCAGAGGGGGTCCCCTGATGTGTTGACCGTCTCTGTGGACAGCTGGGAAGATGTCCCCCACTCCCCCCACCCCCATCCCCAAGGCCAATCCTTACCTTCAGATCCTCACACAGGTCACCGTAGTCAATCTCGATGAGGGCCTCTCGTGCATAGATACTGGAAGTTCGCTGCGAACCACTCACTGAATCCTCCCCCTGGGAGCTACCCTGCAAGGGTGAGAGGGAGTGCAGTGGAGCAGACTGGCCATGAGAGGGCCCCTCTAGACGGGGCTGGGGGCTCCTGTGCCGCATTCAATGACTGAGAAAGCACCTGCTTTGAAAGCACTGATGAAGGACCGCAGCAGCTTTGTCGGCAGAAAGACCTGAGTTTAAAATTGGGCTCTGCCACTGCCCGTGTGTGATCCTGAGCAAGCCATGCTATCGGATCAGGGTTCCTTCATCTGTAACATGGGACAATGCCTGCCTGGCAGCTTGGGTTTGGATCAGGAGTAATTATGTCATGTGCTACCATGAGTCCTGGCACATTTCTGGTGTTCAAAATATTTTGCTGAATTAGACTGAAATGGCATTTGGGGAGGGGGGTGGGAAAAGGACATGGGGGGACTGAGATACATGTCGAGGTCGAAGACAAGATCTATGCAAACCTCTCAGTTAACCTTCTCCACCCCCTGCTACCAATATTCACTTCCAGGGGATAAAATGTCTTGGCTCCTCTATGGGCTAGTGTCCCTCCCTTTCCTAGAACTAAGCTTCGTCACCTCTGCATTGCCGATGTCCCTTACCCAACCCTCTCCTGGCCAACCTCCCTCACTGCAGCTGAGCTATGGTTCCTCGGGTCCTCCAGCTTCCGTCTTCCGTTGCTCTCGGCTGTCCCTCAATTCCTGCTCCTACCAATATCCATCACCTGCCGGAGCTAACTGAGCTCAAGTCCCTAAGGTTAATAGATGACTTCATCTTCTCCTGGCTTACTTCCCTCACCACCTAGACATACAGCTCTACTCCCAATGCAACTTCCCTCTCACACTAAGGCTGCTGCTTTCACCTCACTTGCCCTCACAGCCACACCCTGCCATCCCTCCTCTCCATCATCCCTGCCCACCAACCTTCTCTCACCCTGGCCACTTTCAGTCTTTCATCCCCCATCCCTGAATCATGTTGCTCAAAGCCCCCTCGCACCCCTAGCCATGATACTCACCTCTTCCTGACTAATATCATCCATGGTGCCCTTAGACAGTGGCAACTTGATGTCCTGCATCTTGCAGGCCTGTAGCAGGTTGTGGCGGTCACTGCGCTTCTGTTCAAGCTTGGTCTCAATGGCTGTCACCTCCTTCTGTAAATGGGTCATTTCCCTAAGAAGATCCAGGGAGATAGGTGAGACCCAAATCCAGCAGGCTGTCTGCTCAACCTACTTGACCCAATCCCAGGCCTGAACCCACTCACTTGTTGGCGCCCCCCAGTTTCTTACGAATCTCCTCCATCTCGTGATTCTTGTCATTCACCTCTGACTTCTTAGCTAAGTGCTGATTCTTCAGGTCTTGTAACTGGGCCATGGTCTCATCTATGATCTTCATGTGTCTTTGCTCCTCCTGGTCCCAGCAGGGGAAACGACAAGAGGTGAAGGCTTTCCTTATCTCACCTTAGCATCTTCTCCCCTTGCCCGCGCCCTTTCCACCAGGCAGTTTGTTGGAGCCTCTCTTCAACGAGCTCTGCTTTCACAAACCTTCCATCATCCCTCAGCTTCTTTTATTCTTATGATCTGGTTGCCCTCTCCCAAACACCCCATTTTACCAGTTGCCTGCTATAGAAAAGTTCAAAGTATAGAAAAAGTATTACGCGGCGGGGGGTTGGGGGGCATCACTCATAATCCCACCAGCCTGAGATAACCAATTAACATTTTAGCCTATTTCCTCCCAGCATTACTTATAGATAGCTCTACATAGTTAAGACTAGACTGTAACAGAAACTTGATATGGTGACTTAATGTTATACTTGAGCATCTTTTCCACATCAAAATTACTGTTGTGAGCTATACAACATTAATGTTTTTTCAAAAACCCACCGACAATATGGTCTATTTTCTATGAGTACACATATATGAATGTAGAAGTATCCAAGTAAAATACCTGCAGGTCTAGAAGAATACACACTCCATGGGGTTAGCTCCAGAAAGAATAAGGGGAGTGGGATTGAGAGTGGTCAAAGGGGACTGTTGTGTTACTTACACTGTTCTGATTATTTCAAAGGAAAACCTTCTGTTTTTATTTTGATCTTAAAGTCACATAAAGTGCATGTATCGGCAACTTACTCTCAAATGGCCCATAAAAGTAATATGCAGAGAGAGATATGCAAAAGCAAATATAGCAACATGTTAATGACGGATGAAGCTTGGTGATGGGTAGATGGGAGTTCTTTATACTATTCTACTAGCAACTTTCTGCTAAGTTTAAAACAATTTCAAAATAAAAAGTCAAAAAGTCATAGAAAGGGGCCGGCCGAGTGGCGCGTTGGTTAAGAGCTGGCTTGGGACACCAGCTCTGAGCAGCAAGGCCCCGGTTCGGATCCCACATGGGGCCAGTGACACTGCACCCTCTACAGCTAAGATGCTGAACAGCTCAACCCGGAGCTGGGCTGCCGTGAGTCGCTGGCGACGGTGTAGGCTGCAGCCCCTGCTGCAGTGGGCTGCCGTGAGCTACCGTGAGTGGCTGGCAGCCAGCATGAGTGGCTGGAAGCCGGTGTGAACTACCAAGAGCCACCATGAGCGGCCGTCCACCAGTCTGCCTCACCCGGGAAGAGCGCAATGATAATAGCAACATGGGCCAGTGAAGCAATGTCCTCCACAACTAGACTGAAGAAAAAAAAAAAAGTCACAGAAATACTGGGTTGTCGGAAAAGTCATGACTTATTTTTCTATGTTTTTTTGTTGCAAAAATGCATCATGACTTTTCCAACAACCCAATATATGCTTCTGGATCACCTAGATGTCCACCTAGTCCTGCCCCTGGGTTTTATTGCCCAATCTGTATCTGCATTTAAGATTCTGGTGACACCAAAGAGAACTATTTTAATCACTGGGGTTTAATGGGGGAAAAAAACCACACAAACCAACAACAACATAGGTAGACAAAGAAGTCATGATATCAGACCAAGTGAGGACCAAATCACCTCAGGAGGGGATTCTATGAGAAACAAAGATTTCACAGGAATTTAAAGAGAAGGGGTGTGGGAAAATGGAGTCATCAGACCATAACCGGTGGCACAGGCATGCTCAACTCAAAGGAACATAGCCGTGACAGTTAGCAGCAAGCACAGGCGCACTGCGAAAAGCGACTCGGTTTCAGCAAAACACCCTCATCTGTTGCACTGAAGTAACGTGGTTAATTATAAAATTCAATTTGTAACTCTGTCTTGGTTTTCTGGTTAAGTGTTCCAAGTATATATGTTTGTATATATATTTAAGCAACATTAAGCCAACACTAGAGATCTTGGGAATATTTTTCCTTTAAAAGTGTATTACCTTTAGTGTATCACTAAAATTTGAAGACCATTAAACTACACAATTCTTATATGAATGTAGCATAATTTGCTAAATTCCTAATTCCCAGGGGACACTGGATTGTTTCCCAATGGAACTATAAATGCTTGTAATAAACATCAGCCTGTGTGTACAAAGCTGTTCCAGCATTTTGGATATGCTCAGGTATTACTGAGTTAGAGGGGATAAACATTCAGATTTTTTTTTTTTTGGTTGGAGGAAGTCATCTGACACTTTATGCTTTATTGCTTTGGCGGGGAGGTGCTCAGGAACTCTTGGTGGGGCGAGCCCGCTTCTCTTTAGCATCACCAGCTCCTGGCTGCGCAGGATGGTGCCGGCTCTGCGGATGGCGGCCACGCATGGGTCCGGGCAGTACTTGTTCTTGCGGATCATGTGGGGATGCTGCTGAGGGGGGCCAGGTGTTCTAGTTGACGGAGGTCCACATGTAGGAGGTGGCCGGCTTCCGCTGGCCAGCTCTCTGCTTCACAACGACCACACCTTTGCGGTCAGCTGCTGGCTCCAGGCTCACCATCTGGCGGTGAATCAGCCATTGTAGCAGAAGGAGTTGCAGGCCTTCAGATTATTGGGCTCGGTGCTGTACGTCTGCTTGTTCCTTTTGATCAGGAAGCTGGAGCAGCTGCGCACGACCATCCACTGCAGATGCACAGACACAGCAACAGCTCCTCTAGTTGTAGCAGCCGGGGACAGAAATAGCTGGAAGACTCTTGATATGGGGTGTCATATGACCTAAGAAAGCTGGTCTTGTGTACGAAGGCCAGTATTAAGCCTTATCCTTTTTTAAAAAAACCTTGAGTAATGTGATAGGAAACAAATTACATCTGATTGTTATTTTAATGTGCATTTCTCTGATTTCTAGCAAGTAAATTATGTGTATGTTTAAGGGCTATTTGAATCACTTCTTGAACTGTTTGTGCCACATACCCCCTTTTTTCCTATTTAGGTATTGGGTGTTTTTCTTGTTTTTTTTTTTTTTAGCTGAGCCATCCTGCTACCTGTTGGCAGCTCAGCGGCTGCTCAGCTCGGGCTGGATTCGAACCGCTGTTGCTCAGAGCTCAAACTCTTGAGCGAGCTCTTAACCAACTGAGCCACTCAGCCAGCCCTTGGGTGTTTTTCTTATTTCAAGTAGAGCTTTATAAATTATGAATATTATCCTTCTAGTGTACCTCTTCCAATTTTTCTCCCAGTTTTTAGTCTGTCTTTTCATGCTCTCGTTCCTTACCTTCTTGAGCTTTTCTATCTCATTTTCATCCTTTTTCACCGTTTGTTCCCACATGTGTACTTTATCCTGGTCCTCCTTCAGTTGGTTCTTTTCAAAATCCAACTGGATGCCCAAGCGAGTCTTCTGATTCTCAAACTCCAAACTGTGGGGAGAAAGAAGAACTAGGCCCAGGGCACAGGGACCCAGGGTTACTGCTTAACACCAATCGCCACTCAGCTCATCCACCCTCATCCACATAAAACTGTCCCATGAAGGCAGACAACTAAGTTCTTCAGCCTAGCCTTGTGGAATTGGCACAAGGCAGGGGAGATGGAACCAAAATCCATTAATCATTAATCGCTCTTTAACACTGCAGGACTCCAGAGCACCCCACCCCCACAACTTCCTACATGGAAACACAAAAAGGCCCACATGAACCCACCAGCTATGATCATTTATTTTTATTAATAAAACTTCTTTATTAAGCTTGTGTAATTTACATACATTACCTTTAATCCTTAATCAACGGCTCTACAAGTAGGCATTGTTATTCTAATTCTACAAATGAGGAAACTTGGGCCAAGAGGCAAAAGACCTTGCCCAAAGTCACAGAGCTAGTAAATGGCAAATGTGAGATTAGAACCCGGGCCGAACACCAAATCCAGTCTCCTTCTCCTGTGGCAATATAATGTGGTAGGATATGAGGATTGGTATCCCAACTCTGCCATTTAATAGTAGTGTGCTTTTAGGCAAGTTAGTTATCCTCTCACTGCCTGTTTCTTCACCTAACAGTAAAATGGAAATAGTACTACTTACCTAAGAGTCACTGGAGGATTTTTCAAACAAGTTAATATGTATAATGTCCTTAGAGTTATCCCTGGCACACAGTAGGTACTCAATAAATTTTAGTTACCATCATTATTGCTAGGTATTCCACTCATTTTGACTCTTTCCAACTACCACTGTCACATGCACAGCCTCAAGATTCCAGAACCACTAAGGGGCAGAGCTTGGGTAGTAAAAATCATGAAAAAAATACTAGATTCCTGCTATTGCCCTCCTCCCCGTCTCTTCAGAAACTCAAATAGTATGTAACCAGCATACAAATACTAACAGGCCAGGCAGGGCTAACTTCCAACTGCCCCCTCCCCACAATATCATGTGACAGATACTGCCAGATGTCATGCCAGCAGTTTAAACCTATTAGTCACTATAATCCAAATGGAATGTAATTAACTCTATAATTTTGAGCTATGCCATTTTAAGTCCAATCTCCTTAGCATGACTCATAAAGCCCTCTGTGGTCTGGCCCCTGCTGACCTCTCCACCACCCCCACCTTCCACCTGACCCCATTTTTATGCTCGACATTCAAAAGTATTTAGTTTCCAGAACAAGGCATGGTCTCACACCTCTAAGCATGCTGTTCTCACTGCTAGGAACGCCCTTCCGACTGCTGCCTGGCGGGCTAAATCCTACTCACTCTACAGGTCTCCAGTTCATCATTCCTTATTCTGTAAAACCTTTTCTGAAGGCTGTAAGCAGGTTCTTAGTTTCTATTACACTTTGTTGGGTTCCTCCCTTTTGGCCCAGTTGAGTTAATCACATCCCACAGTTTATAACACATTTATGATTGCTATCTGTGCAAGACCCTTCCTTTGTCTCCTCTGGTTCAATCCCTGATTTTCACTCTCATTATCTGCCTCATGGTGAACATGTACTCCAAAGTAACATACATACATACGTGTGTGTGTGTGTGTATATACACATACACACACACACACATATACACATACACACACATATGCATATATACATATATGTACACACACACACATCGGGGGTGCCAACAAAATGTATAAACATTTTAAGAAAGGAAAAAGCTGTACTAAAATTGTAATACAATGAATGACGCTAGCATTCATATGATTAATGCCATCTTTTGAGTGAATGTCATACTACACATTGCTACCGTAATTCAACTTCAAAAAGTAGGGCCGGCCGAATGGCTGTTGGTTAAGAGCTCGCTCAAGAGTTTGAGCTCTGAGCAACAGCGGTTCGATGCCCGGCCCGAGCTGAGCAGCCGCTGAGCTGCCAACAGGTAGCAGGATGGCTCAGCTAAAAAAAAAAAAAAAAAAAAAGTAATACATAGATAACATCTCTTAAAATGTGTACATTTTTTTGGCCCCCCGGGTACATACATATGTATATAGCCTTACAAATGCATATCCTTGTAAAATGTCATTTTGTTTTTACATTTACACAAATGTGTGGTGTTATAAATTTATCCATGGTACTGTCTGTAAATCTAGTTCTTGCTTCGAACTATTTCAGTCTGTGTATCTACCCCATTTAATTTATACTTTCCCCCCAAGTGATGGCTATCTACATTGCCAACATCCTACTACCATAAGTTAGGCCAAGATAAACATCCCTGAATGTGTTTCTTTGTGACCCTGTGGCAAGACTCTCCCTGGGATATATACCCAGGAGTGGCTTGCTAAATTATACAGGGCTTATGTAGACTTATTCTCATCAGATACCAATAGATTGTTTTAATTTGATTTCTCTGATTAGGAAAGAGGCTGAACATCAATTCGCAATTAACCATTCGAGATTCTCTTTCCACGAAATGCTACCTACATCCTCTGTCCCGTTTTCTATTTGGTCTCTAGTTTTTATTTTTCCTCTTGTTTATTTGCAGTTCCTTGACCATCTCCTCTGTATTTTCTATCTCAAGTACAGCATCAATCATGGAGTTCTGAAATTGCTGATCTACTTGTTTGTCTTCCCCACCTCCTGCTCCATAACTCCTTGAGGGCAAGGGCAGTCTCTGATTCAATTCTGTATCTCTTGAGCTTGGCTTGTGGGTAGAAGAGCAATGAATATTTTCTGTATGGGCAATGGGCTGAATGAACTGCCGACTGAGGCCAGGGTGCAGGGGATGACCTCCTTCAGGACTACGTTGCATCCCCATCTCCTGGCCCCTTCCAATACCTAGCACAGGACAGCCTGGCACAAGACAGGTACTCAAGAAAGGTTTGGTGAGCAAATGAATAAACTAAAGTGGGGAACAGAGGAGAAACTGCTGTTTTGTTCTCGCTATCCTTCCAACTTAGAACTTTGTTCATCCTCCCTTACATTGTCCACCAGGATAATAATAATAAAAGCTAACAGTTATTGCTTTTAGTAGGTTTAGTAGGTGCTAAGTAGTATGCTAAATACTTTATAAGAATTACTTCACCTGATCTACCCAACAATGCCATGCGACAGGTGTATCATCCCATTTTATAGATAAGGAAATTGGGGCTCAGAGAGATCAAGTCACTGCCCAAGATATAAGTTGTGAAGCTGGGATTTTAACCCAGGTAAACCATATCTAAAGCTGGCACTCTTAACCACTAGAGGGACTAGACTATGTGACACTGCCTCCCTAATGTTCCTGTTCTGTAAGGCTGACCTACAATAAACGCCCAATGTTTTAAGAGCTGCTCCCTGCCTTTTGATGGCATTTGACCTCCCAGGATATCAGGCTGAGGGCTCAAAGCCATCCCAGTCTCCTCTTCTACCCACACTTCCACCTACCGCTTCTTGGCGATTTCATTCTGCCGCTTCACCTTCTCTTCCTCAAACTCCCGGATGTTGCGCACACCAATCTCCCGACAAAACTCTTCAAACACCTCATCCTCTACCTGAGAGGACAAGCAAAGGAAGGCAGAGGCTCTTTGGGTCAGAGGGCTGCTTCCAGCCCCGGTTCTGGCCCGATGCACATGCTGGCCTGGCTCATCCCCCACCAACCTGGTTCATCTTCTCCTTCAAGTCTTTCATTTCCCGCTCTCGGCTCTGGATTATCCTCTTGATATCATTGATGCGAGGCCCAAAGTTGGCTAGCTCACTCTCCAGCTTGGACTTTTCCTGCAGGAAACGGGGTTGAGCAGGCAAAAAGAAACTAGGCTCCTTGGAAGAAAAGGGCCACCCCGAGTGCACTGTCCCCATGGACAGGAAGGGCCAGGTCTCCACACACTGAGAGAACGTGACGTAGGACCAGTCAAGGCTCCATCATCTATCACTTGAACCAGCACACAGCTTCCTCCCTGGCCTCCAGTCAGCCAGCTTCAGTTGGCAGGGCTGGGCACACAGTAAACATGGTTACTTACAGGTCCATGCTCCCTTAGCTATAACCCTTGTAGTCAGATGCTTTTTGGAATTCAGACTTTTTGATTTTAGAAAAAGGCAAAACAATATATGTTGTACATATTACATAACACCCCAGGGTGGTCTGGGGAAGCACCTCATGATCAAACACATTAACATACATAGGAGGGTACTCCTACCCACAGGGATTGAAATGCCTGTAGCTCACTTTCAATTCATTTTTAGGAGAAGCTCAAATATTTATTAAATGAATGAATTATGCCAATAATAGCACCTAACATTTATTAAGTACTTATTGGGTATGAGGAATCAGTCTAAGCACTTTACATGCATTAACTGATTCAATCTTCACAACAACCTTATAAAGCACATAATATTCTAATTCCCATTTTACAGATAACAATTGAAAACTAACACTGAGAGGTTAAGTAACTTGCCTAATGTCATAGAGCCAAGATCTGAAAGCCTGGCTGTCTGATTCTGAGCTATGTTTGGTTCCCGGGAGCAGCCTGGGAGGACAGAGGGAAGCGGGACAAGTTCCCTCCCCCCAGAGAAACCTGGATAAGGAATAGGAGGACAGCCGTTAGAAAACAGGGCTGAAGGTCAGACCCCACCTGCAGATTCAGGGCTAGATGTCGTGTCTTGGTCTGCTCCAGGTCACTCTGGGAGTACTTGAGCCGCATCTGCAGTCCATGGGCCTGAGACTGCACCTGACGTAGCTCTGCCTCTTTCCGCTTTGCCTTCATCTGCTCCTGAAGCGGACAAGAAAGAAAGGCGAGGTGGTAAAGAGGTGGCCGGCCTGGGCTTAGGGCCTCCCACTCCTAGGGACAACACTGCTTACTTTCAGCTCCTCTGTCAACCGTTCCTTCTTCTCTTTCAACTTGTCTACCGCTTTCTCATCCCAGCGCCGCGCCTTGGCCTTCAGGTCACTGGCCCCACCAGAGATCACTCCTGACTTCTGAAACAGGGTCCCATCCAGTGCCACTGTCTGTACACGTTAGGACGAGAAGGAGGAGCTGAATAGAGGAATCTCTGATACTAAGCCTGCCCAGCTGCAGTCTGGGCAAGGGAATCCATCCATACCTTGTGACGCTGGTGGCCTCCAAAGGCAATGCGGCGGGCATCCTCCACGTTGTCACAGACAAGGGCATTGCCGCAAGCATACTGCAGGGCCTTTTTGATGTGAGGTGGCTCATAGCGAATCACGTCAATCACCAGCTTGGCCCCCTTCAGCTCCCGGAGTTTCTCATCTGTGGGTTTCACCTGCGGGAAGAAGTTCAGTAGGTGGCAGAACACACCGAGGGCTAGGAGGGGCCTTCACATGCTGTCCTGACCCCATCCCACCAGCCTCACCTCCAGGTAATCCAGAGGCAAGAAGGTCTCAGGCTCCCCACGCTGCTCCTTGATATACTGAATACAGTCCCGGCCTGTCTTCTCTGAGTCCACAATAATGGCATCCATGTTCTTGCCCAAAACTTTGGTTACAGCAATTTGATACTTCTTTTGTGTGGGCTGGCAGAGGTCAATAAGGCGGCCATACTGAGGAAGTCAGAAGGGAAAATGAAAGCATGAGGCTTGGGGAGCTGGCTCAGAAACCCCAATTCCCAGCTTGGAAAGGAGGACAGACCAGAATCTGTATCAGGAACACAGCCCCCAAGCTACGGAGGGAAAGCCTACTCTGACCCCAAAGCAACGACGACTTCAGACAGTTATGTCTGAATCCAAAATCATCTTTCTAAACCTCTCTTTTACCACTTCGCAGACCACTGCCACCCCAGGCACTACGCCCGATACCCTATATACACTATCTCAAATTCTCACACTCAGCAAAAGAAATCTCTTTTCCCACTTCACTGCCCCCCATGCCCCCCAAACCAACAGATAAAGGGAAAGATCTTCAAGGGCAGGGACTAAGCCTAATTCACCCTTATAAACTCCTCAGCAGTGTCTAGATGAGAGATCAAGAAATACAGAGGGTGCCCAAAAAATGTGTACCCATTTTAAGAAAGGAAAAAACTATTAAAATTGTAATACTCAATATATACCAATAACAAAAGATGAATACAAGTCATGTTTGACTTTTACAGTTACGAGAGGTGCTCAAAGTGGTTCCCACCAGCGTCCAGACACTTCTGATTACGGCGAACTACTGCTTGAGCAACACTGACCAAAGTGTTAACGTCTCTTAAAATGTGTATACAGTTTTTAGCACCTCGGTATTTATGGAACCCAATTAAGTTGAACCCAGGGATGGGATTACAGCCATAGACGGATAATATTCCGGGAAACCAGGAACTCAGGGTTTGGTTCAAGAGGCCAAGAGATTTGATAAAGCCTGGTGAATGTGCCAGTTGGTACATGCCAACCAAGCTCATATCAAAGCCTGCACAGAGCTACTTCCTGGGAGACTGATTCCTGTTCCGTAGCCCCTCCCCCTTGCAAGGGCCTCTCCCGTTTCCCCACCTCCCACAGAGGAGTGGAAATAGCAAGACAAAACCTTCAGGAAGATGCAATTGGTGTGATAAAAAGAACGTGAGGCTGAGAGTCAGAACAAGTTGGGTTTGAACTGCAGTACTTGCACTGATGCGCTGTGCTCTTTTGGGCAAGTCATTTAACCTGTCTCAGTTTCCCCAGCTGTGAAAATGGAATTAGCAATCCTGATCTCACAGGGCTGCTGGGAAAGTGACCTGACATAAGTGTGAAATAAGTGCTTGGGAAATAAGTTCTATCCCCATTCTTACCACAGAGCCCGGGTACAGGCGCTTGATGCTTTCCATAATCTCTGCCTTTCGCTGTTGGCGACTGCTCTCCTGGCGGTCAATGCGGGCATCCCCCAGCTGCTCCATCACCTGGTTCAGCTCCTTATTGATCTCATCAATACGCCGCTTGGCCATCTCCACCTCCTCTGTCAGCTCCCCCTCTAGCTTCTTCTGCTCCTCTAGAGACTGCCTACAAAGTGAGGGGATACACGAGTTGCCCTGGATGGTCAGGAAATACTCTCGGCTGACAGGGCCTCTGGTCCTGCCTAGGGAGGGTCAGGACATGTAGGGTTCACAACAAGAGGCCTGGAAGTAAGAGGGAAGGCTGCAGAGCCACATACTTGCTAGTCGTGATGTATTCCTCCAATTTCTCAATCCGCTTCTGATTCTCTTCAATCTCCCGCAGCTTTTGCTTGATCTTGGCCTGGGAGAGACAAATATATTCCATCACCAAGAGCTGGGCAAGTTAACTCCAAGACCATGGGGCCTGGGCTTACATCTCCTATGGCCCGCTGATCCAAGAGCCCAACAGTCTTGGATAATCTATCACTAATGCAGGAGGCCTACTAAAAAGCAGACACATAGACAGTGCTCAGCGTGGCTCTGCTAACTGACGGGGCCTCCCCAGGCCCGATGAGATCCTCTCAAAGTGTTCTACCCAGCCTGGGCTAGCTTCCTCACCACTCAGGGAGGCTCAAACCAATGTAAAGCTTTTGGGGCCTTTCTGTTTTCTCATCTGTAAAATGTAGGTAACCTCTCCTTCAGAAATACACATTAAGGGCCGGCCGAGTGGCTCAGTTGGTTAAGAGCTCGCTCAAGAGTTTGAGCTCTGAGCAACAGCCGTTTGAGTCCGGCCCGAGCTGAGCTACCGCTGAGCTGCCAACAGGTGGCAGGATGGCTCAGCTAAAAAAAAAAGAAATACACATTAAGTGCTTAATACAAGGTAGCTATTACTAGTAATGCCTTCTGCCAAAGAAGCGCTTAGCAGAACACCTGAACACTGTAGGCTCTTGGAGTACTATAACAACGTTCTATTATTGTTATTATTTTACTATTATTATTAAGAAAACAGTACATTTGACAAGAGTGTGGGCTTTAAAGCTATACTGCCAGGTTCATGTCCTGTTTCTGCCACTTAATAACAAAGTGACCTTAGGCAAATTACTTCACCTCTGTGGTACAGTTTCCTCATTTGGAAAAAGATTAATTAAATGAGTGAATACATGTCAAGTATAATGACTAGCCCACAGTAAATGCTCGCTGGATGTTAGCTATTGTCGTTACTGTTAAGACTATCCTCATTTCCTTTCCTCTGGACCATCACCCCTAGTCCAATAATGGATGCCCACCTCTGTCTCTACTTTCTTCCGCTCTTCCAGATCCAATCGGTCCTGGTCAGCTTTCTGGTCTCGATTGAATTTCTCCAGCTCCTGGGCCAGGGTAGCTGCTCTCTTGCTGGCTTCTTCTTTCAACCGGTGGTACTTCTTCACCTGTGTTAGGGACAGGGAAGGAGGACAAAGATGACCAGTCAGTGCATGTTGGCCCAGCGATCTCCCCACCCACCTGCAACCCTCCCAGACCTTACCTGATTCTCCTCCAGGGTCAAGTCTCTGCCCTGACTCTGACTCTCCTCTTCCATCCGTTCCTCAAACTCCTGCCGGGCTTTCTCCACTGAAAGCATTTCCTTTTCCAGCTCATCCATGTCACCTTTACGCTTCTTGTAATGCTTCTGAGCATTCTGTAGGGACTTCTTGGCTGCTTCCAGCTTCTTGATTTTGTGGGAGGTATTCTCCTTGGCTTTGATGTACTGAGGCCGCTTCTGATTCAGCTCTGAATCCTTTTCCCTTTTGCCAGAGGGGAGGGGGAAAACCAGTTAACACTGTTGGAGAAAGGAGGGTTCCCCGGCTTTTTACCCAAAGAAAAGGGGGCCTGAGCCCCACCCTTATCCCCAGCCAGCCTCGGAGAACTGCCTAAAAGAACAAGGGCCCACAGATTCTCAAAAAGGGGCAGTGTGACTACTCCCTGGAACCTTCAGCCTGGCATTCCAGCCACTCCATTAAGGTAAAGCTACCACCCTAACCTCAACCAGCCAGGCCAGGCACCTCAGCAAACAACTCCCGAGAACACCCCGTGTTCACTTAGCTGACCCACATCTGATCTAACCTTTCCAAATTCCTGTCCTTTAAATTCTTAGCGCCAGTTTTTCTCTTCTAGAAAGCCATTCCCAGCCAGTCCAGTGCCCGGACCCTTCTTCACTTCCTCTAGCTTGGCAAGGCTACCGCCTCTTTCAAGTTCTAAGTTCTCCCTCTTCTGAATACCTAGGTACCCAGAGCCTGAGTACTTAAATACTCTATTCGTCTAAAATGCACGTCAAGAAATGTGCCTGGTTCTGTCCAAAGCAAGTCAAGGAGAAAACAGAGAAGCTAGTATGTGCGCTGGACTCCAGGTTGAGAGACGCCCTACGGAACAGGAGAGCCTCTCGGTTCCCCACAAGTTGCAGGCCCAGGCCTGCCTCTTACTTGATCTCCTTCTCAATCTGCTGCTGCTCCCGCATCATTTTGCCCAGCTCCTTCTTCTTCTCCTTCAGCTCATCCTCTACCTTGTCCATGCGCTTCTTGTCTTTCTCGATCTCCTTGTTCTTAGAGGCCAGTTCCTTGTTGAGCTTCTCGATTTCCACTTCGTTATGGTAAAGCTTAAAGAGCTGGAGCTGTACCTGAGCCCGTACCACCTCGTCCTTCAGGCGCTGGTAGCGGTCAGCCTGTGCAAACAGGGGCATGGAGGCAGGGCTGCATCAATAAGGCACTGGCTCCCCATCCTGGCCCATCAGGGCCCAGAGGCAGCCTGGCCACCTACCTCTTCTTTCTCCTGTTTGGCCTCCTTGCGCTCAGCGGCAATGTTTTTCTTACGATGGTAATTAAACTGTGTGTCCTCTTCAGCCTTCACCATTTCCTTCTTTCGCTTGTCATACTCCTGCGCCAGCTCCCCAGAGCGACTGATCTCTTCAAATAAAGCTGTCCTCTCTTTGGGGTTCTTCATGGCAATAGATTCCACAGCACCCTAGCAAAGATCAAAACACTTTCCCCACTTAGACCCGAGCCAGGCCAGTTTCTCCTACCTACTCCCACTCAATCATTCAGAAAAATTTCACCGACCCCCCACCACACCGGTGCCCCATTTCACACTGGGCTCTGAGGACACATTCCTGGCCTTTTGAGGTGCACAGGGAGAAGAGACAGAAGCAAAGCCAACCCTGTGCGTTGTGTGCAGTGACAGAAGTAGCAGAGAAAAGCACTACATGAAGCTTGGGGGTAGGAGGCTGGTCGGGGGTTTCACATGGGAAGGCTTCCTAAAGGAGTTTGCAAGATGGGGAAGAACTACCCAAGAAAGAGACGAGGTTATTCACGGAATAACATGTAGAAGAAAAGTTCATGTGTAAAGGCCTCTGCAGGCGAAAGAAGGCAGGTCAATTTAGGGAACTGTAAATGGTTTAATTAGGCCAGAGTGCAGGGCTGGAGGGGAGCACTGACAGATGAGGCTAGTGAGGTGGGCAAGAACCAAAGAATGGTGTTTCCGGAATGACAGGGGTTTGGATTTCATGCTAAGGCAATGGTTGTCAAACTTGAGCACACATCATCAGAACCTGGAGAGCCTGGTAAAACACAAATTTCTGGGTTCCACCCCATAGTCTCTGAGTCTGGAGGTCTGGGATGGCGGCCGAGAATGTGCATTTCTAACATGTCCCCAGTTGATGCTGATCTGGAGACCACAATTTAAAAACCACCACCGTAAGGCAATGAGAAATCACTGAAATACTTTAAGGTGAGAAGGGAAATAAAAAGATGTCTGCCCTCATAAGATGAACCTGGCCTAGGGGATGAACTGGAAGGGGCCAGATTGGAGTCAGGAAACCCAGTGAGGAAGCTGCTACATTAGTTCAGAGGAGAGATGAAGCCAGAGATAGAGCGGGCCCAAAGGCTGGCAAAAAGCAGAGAGCCAATAATTGTTAAAGATGCCCACCTGGAAGACAAGGAAGTTACGGGCTTTGATGAGAATGCCCAACTTCTCTAACTCCTCACTGTACTCGTGTAGCTGGACCACTCTGTTGTTGATCTTGTACTCAGAGGACCCACCTACAAGACAATGCACGAGTCACTCAACGGTCAAGTCTCCCTCCCACCCAGCCAGCTAGTCTAGCCACCTCCCAGGACCCAAGGAGAGCCTTCAGGCCGGTCTCACCCACCAACAATGACACGGGCAAAGGTGCGGTCCTCAGCGCCCTCCTCAGAGTAGACCATGCTGACAAAGGCTCGATTGGCAGCTGGCTTGCCCACAGGAGCTCCATGGATCAGGTCCCTCAGGGTCTTTACACGCAGGTTGCTGGTTTTTTCACCCAACACAAAGCTGATGGCATCCATGAGATTTGACTTACCTAAGGGAAGAGGGGACAAAGCAGAGGAGGGAAAGTCATGGAGAGAAGAAAAGGAATAAAGGAAACATTGAGAGGACTCAGTGCTCAGACTCATGGGAGGAGAAAATATTGCTCTGCCCTCATCAAGACTGGGGCCAACCAAAGCCCTGGGTCAAAGGCTTAGAAAAATAGTTCCTTTGCAGTTATTACTTACAGCAGCCAAAAACTAGAGCCCCTTCTAATGAAACGATATATTCCCAGAATAGGCTGTTCTGCAACCTTTAATGAAATGGGAAAATGCCCACAATAGGATAAACAAGCAAGATACAAAACCCAATACAGTTTGATCTCAACCAAGTTTGTTTTCTAAAAAAGGGCTGAGGGAAGGGGAAAATGGGGAGTTAATAGGTATAGTTTCAGTTTTGCAAGAGGAAAAATTCAGAAGATCGGTTGCACCGCAATGTGAATATACTTAACACTACTGAACTGCACACTTAAAAGTCGTGAGGATGGTAAATTTTATGTTATGTGTATTTTATCACGTTTTTTTTAAAAAAGGCATATTCCTATTGTGATACAATATGAAGCACACAGCATAATCTATGAAGTTATCGTGCCAAAATCTAACCTGAAGTTAAACAAGCCTTTAGACCGCCTTTCAAGTTGACAGCAGCTAGAGAAACATGGTAAATGACACCATGAGGAAATCTTAAAAGACAAACACAGAATGCGAGATGTTCTATAAGACAACTGGTCTGGGCTTTTCAAAAACTCAGTGTCTTAAAAGAAAGGTTGGGAGAACCATTCCAGAACACACGAGATTATTGGGACATAAGCAAAGGCAGTATACGAACTCTGATTGGATTCTGGTTCCCCCCCAAAAAAAAACAACCCAAAAAGACATTTTGAGGAGCAATTAGGGAAGCGTGAATATAAGCTGGATGATTGATGACATGAGGAAATTAATTTTCTTAGGTGTGATAATGGTATATTGGTAACACAGGAGAAATGATTTTAGGAGAGGAATGCTGAATCCCTTAGGGGTGAAATGTCATTAATTTTACAATTTACTTGCAAATGATTAACCAAAACACACATGTATGTTTGAAAATTTTCCTATTAAAAACTTGGGGAGAGGGAAATGCATAGGAAAAAATACATGAAAATGTAAACAGTGTAACAGCAGGTAACAAGCCAGGGAAGAAATGGAGTCTTCTTTTAACTGTGTACCCTTTGGGATTTTTTTGAATTTTATACCATGTGCATTTATTAGCTATTCAGATAAATAAAATTTTTAACATTAAGAGTCACAGTTTTTACTTTCTTCATTTTAGACTCTGGGAAAAAAAACATTTTAAAAAGTTTAGACTGGGATTGGGGGTGGGGAACAGTTTAATCTCTCTATAAATTCTATCTCAAGATTCTCCCCAACCATGTTATATGACAGTGAACTGAGGACCTGATTTCCAACACCTATCTACCCAGCTATAAAAATGGTAGCCCAGGTCCTTCCATGGAGGCAGTACAAGACAGAGATTGAGAGCTCAGGGTCTAGTCCAATAGACCAGGTTGTAACCTTAGTTTCACTACTTCCTAGCTGACCTTCTATTCCCTCACCTGGAAAATGTGAAAAAGCATGACTCGTAGGTAAAATATCTAAAACAATGCTTGGCCCATAGTTCTCTGTTAGAGTGGCAGGAGCAAAGGCTTTAAAGTATAACAGACATGGGTTCTGATCCTAACTCTGAGAATCAGCGTGCAAGTGATCACAACTCTTTGTGCCTCAGTCTCCTCAAATATAAAACAAGGATAATGGGATCTCCCTCCTAGGGTCACTGTGAGAATTTAAATGTAAAAGGTCCCTATAAATAAAGTACTTGACACACAGTAGGTGCTCAATAAACGGTAGCCCTATCCTAACAACAGTTCTAGACTCAGCTGTCTCTCTCATCACAGCAGGACTAGCACATCATGCAGACCAGGAGTCAGTCTTTTAGGCACCTGTTTCCAATCTTTGGGCTTGTCCCGTGCTCTCCAGGAACAGGAAGAATATCTCACAACCAAAGGCCTCCCTACTCACAGTCATTCAATATTGTAAACATTGTTATAACATGTATTATGAGCTGAACAGTGATCAAGTTTAAGGACTGTCTTCTTTGGGGTACTCATAGACCAGTGATGAAGAAACAAAAAAACATATGCCATGAATACAAGACAGATGAAGACAAATGTTAAAGTGTTTCCAGTGTCTCCTGTGTGCCAGAGGAGAAGCGCAATTCACTGAGGGGAATCAAGGAATGTTTTGTGGAGGTAGGCATTGAAGAATGCGGGGTGGGGGTGGGGGGTGGCAGTCAGACCAAGAGCCTTAGCCTTTCTGGAGCAGCTGAGGGGACTATATGATGAGGGGGGCTAATGCCAAGAGGTGCATCCTGCCTCTTTACACCACACCAAAATCCTAAAACACTGGAGTGGGGACCCCCCCCCCAAGCATTAGCCTTCTAGGCTAATGGTTCTCAAACCAAGCTGGGAGGGGAAGTGATTTCCCTCCCCCTTTCAGGGGATATGTGGTAATGTTTGGAGACATTTTTGGTTGTCACACCTGGGGGGGTAGGGGTGCTGTCATCTAGTGGGTAGAAGCCAAGGATGCCGCTAAACATCCTACAACACGCAGGACCCACCCCGTGATAGAGAATTATCTCGCTGGAAATGTGAATAAGGCCGCTGTTGAGAAACCCTGCTCTACCGTGCCAGACCCAGGCAAGACTCCAGGCAAGGCTGTCATTTAGAGCTACTGCAGCAAGGGCAGCCCCCCTCAGGCTAGGAAATGATTTAGCTACAACAACTCTGGGGAGAAGCACAGCAGGATTCAAAACAAACCCTTGTGGGGGTAGATGGGAGGAATCCATGGTGTATCATATAGTGATGGGGAGTTAAGATATGAAATAGAGGCCTTACCTAGTCCCCCTTTCCTTTTTTTCCCAGTTCCACTGAGCCATTCTGACATAACATACTAGTTTCAGGTGTATAACAATGATTCCATATTTTTATAAATTGCAAAATTATCACAATGTTTCGTTAACATCCATCACCTCACACAGTTACAATTGTTTCCTTGTGATGAAAACTTTTAAGATCTATTCTCTTAGCAACTCTCAAATATACAATACAGCATTAACTACTGACCACTCTTTCTAAAGACACCATGCAAGTCACTCTATCACATCAACCTGTGTTATTTCCTGCATAGCCGTTATCACAACCGAAAAATATTTTATTTTCTCCTTTATTATTGTCTTTCTCCTCTAGAATGTAAGTTCCCTGGGAGCAAGGCTTATTCTATTTTCCGTTATTTCCAGAGCACCTTGAATAACTCCTTATAAAACAGTAAGCATTCAATAAATTTGGTGAACGAGTTAAGTTCTAAGTTCTGAATTTTTAACGGTTTCAGTGGTAGCAAAGGGGCGAGTTCGAGACATCCCCACCTCTAAAATGGGGACGGGGTGGAGGGTCGAGACGCGAGCGCTGAATCTCAAATTCAAAAGTGCCGCCTCCGAAGAAGAGTTAAAAAAAAATGGAGAAACTGGAGCATACCAATGCGAGGCGGGACGGGTAAGTGTACCGTTTGGGACCGGAGGCCACGGAAGGGCTACCAGCAGTCCCACATCTTCCGGAGGGTTCTTACAAGGCGGGGAATCCAGCTAGCTTGGCAGTGGGCTCGGGACCGCCACTTTTGGCGGGAGGGGGCAGAGGGCGGGGGAATATATACAATACGGGTCGTACCACTCAGGCCGGGGCGGGGGCCGCGCAAAAAGCGGCCAACTGACACCTGGGGAAGAGGATCGAGTCAGCGATCCCGAACAGGGAGAGCTGGTTTGGGCTTCCCCGCTGAGGAGCAGCAAGGAACCTGTTAGGGTTCGCGACATTTCAAGTGGCACGGGCTGGGCTGTACTACTCTGCTGCCGGATAGGGGGTCCGGGACGTGTGCAGGGCCGCATCCGGGTTTATCTTACCAGAGCCATTGGGTCCAATGATGGCGGTGAACCTCTGAAATGGTCCGATAATCTGTCGACCCTTGTACGACTTAAAGTTCTCGATCTCAATCAGTTTCAGGAAACCCATGACGGCAGCGGCGCCGACAGCGGTACGAATGGCCGCGCCGTGCGCCGAGGAACTGGGGTAGCCTGCGCGGGAAACACCGCAGTGCAAGCCGGGCGAATCTTAAACCTCGCGAGAATAAGTGCAGGTCGAACGGGACTTCCGGCTTCCGGGGCGGGCAGGAGCTAGGGGCGGGGACTTCCGGCCGGCGCTGAGGTTTGTTGATCCGTTGCCAAGGCGCTAGCTTACGACAAGCGTTTGGGCCCGCCCCCCTTTCTTGTTGCCTGGCAACGCAGACCGCCACCACTGCCGAGCGAACTGCAGAGGCAGCGGTGCCGTAGACGGAACAGCTTTTGGGATCCGAAGAAGCACAGTTCACGCTTGCTAAGACAAGTCAAAAGTCACTGCAGGGTTATGCCCTGCAGGGCAAGAGGCAGGTGGGAGCTCGGCTTTAGCCTGACAGGCCAGAAGGCTCAGACTATAGCAGAGCGGGGAATTGGAAGGACCCTGGGGAGCGGGGAGCCAAAGGCTGTACGGGAAGGAGGGGCCCGCGGGAGGATTCGGTGTTAGGTGGGCTCAGATCTTCTATGGGTCGGGGTTAGAGGCGGAGTGGGGTGGGGTTAGAGGGGGGATGGAGTGTGAAGGGGGATGGGGTGTGAAGGGTTAAGAGAGTACTCTGGAGCCACAGGGAAAGGGCGGGGAAAGCTATGGCCAGAGATACTGCCCCTATCCCCTGCTTCCCTCCTTTTCCTCCAAGCAGAGTTTAGAGACGGACGCTGTAGCCCAAGAACAGTCTTGGACCTGAGCCACTTGTTGGCTATTTGAACCCAGACCCCACCTAGGAGCTTCAAAATTGGGACTCCTTACTGAGAAAGGTATTTTGTGTGAACTCTTAGGAGTCAGGGTCCCTAAACCAGCGTTCTCCACCTTTATCCTTCGCTTCTCCCCGCTTCATCTATCTCTCGCTTCCTGCCTCACCTCCATACCATTCCCTCCTCTCCATCCCCCAATGCCCCAAATCCGTTGCTTCCCCCGTTCCTCTTTTGTCTCTGTTCTCTGTCCTCCACACCCATCAACCGCCCCGTTGCCCCCCTTTTTCCTTCTCTACCCCTTCACTCTGTCCCTTTCCCCTCTCTGTTCCCAATCCCTCCCCTCATCCCCATATCACCTTATACCATCTCATTACTAAGGCCATGGCCTTAGCAGTCCAAGAAGCTTAAAATGTCTGCTGAATCTTCCCTTTCAGTGACCTTATATTGTGGTGACAAATGGAATGAACAGGCTGGGGTTGGTGCTTAGACTTAGACATGAAAAGGGTCTGGTGGTTGCCATAGCCATTCCTGTAACTATTTTTAAAATGATGTCTGGAGGCTGAAAAGAGTCTTAAAGTCTCAGGACAAGTCCAGGAAAGTGAGAAAGTTTGATTGATGGAATCTTGTAGAGAAGAGCCATATGTGAAGTTCAACTGGGAGAAACAGTCACAATCAGGCTGAGGAGTAAAATGGCCAAAGGGCAGCAATCTGATGGGAACTATTGTTTCATTTTAAAAGATGAGATGGAGCTTGGGGTGAAGAATCAAACTGAATCACTACCTCTCATACTACATACAAAATACAATTCCAAATGGATTAAAAACTTAAATGAGAAAGGCAAACTTTAGAATTTTAGAAGGATATACAGGAGAATATCTTTATGACCTCAAGGGATTTATTAAATAATAAAAACTATTATCAAATAATAATAAAGTGAAAAGACCAGACACAAATTGAAGATGTTTGCCACATATAAACCAAGAAATGGCTAGTGTGTAGAATGCATACGGAACTCCTAAAATAAGAAAAACAACCTGACTTTTTTTTTTAAAGATATGAATGGGCACTTCACAGGAGAGTAAACAAAAATGGTCAAAACACACATGAAAAGATGTACAACTTCATTAGCAATATGGAAAACTCCAATTAAAATCGGTAATTATAATTTAATACCCACAAATTGGCAAAAATAAAAAAGTTTGCAATAAGAAGTGTTGGTGAAGATGTGGAGTGCCTGGAATCTTTATACACTATAGTAAAGGCATAAACTGGTACCGTCTCCTTGGAAAACAAGTTAGCATTATCTTGTAAAGTTAAATACGCTTTAAGTGTTATGATCCAGCACTTCCACTCCTAGGTATAGGCTAGAGAAACTTTCCTACCTGTATACATGTCTCTTTTAATCTACAGGCTCCTCCTCCCTCTTTTTCTCTTGCAATTAAAAAAAATAAACTGAGTTTGTGCCACAGAGTCCTAGTCTCTGTTGAACCCACTTCAGTCAGGCTTTCGGCCCCACAACTCCACCAAAAATGTTCTTGTCAGTCATCAGCAATCCTCATGTTAGTAAATCAGTTCTCAGTCCTCCTCTTAACCTATCGTCAGTTGCTTACTCCCTCTTCCCAAAAGCACTTTCTTCACTTGGCTTCTCTGACTCTCCTGGTTTTTCTCCCACCTCTCCGGCCACTCCTCAGCCTCCAGTGCTAGCTCCTCCTCTCCTTGTCTCCCCCTGGGACATTGTTATCCATCTACATGCACTCCCTTAGAGATCTCTTATAGCCTTATAGCTTTAAATACCTTTGTATCAGTCAGGATTGGCTAAATGATGCTAAGGTTATAAACATCCCCCAAATCTCTGCAGCTTATAAAAACAAAAACTTGTTTCTCACTCCTCCTTGTCCATTGTGGGTTGGCTGCATCTCTGCTCTGTGTCATGATTCCAGGACCTAAGCTGAAGGAGCAGCCCTTACCTGGGACATCGCCAGTCTCATAGCAGAGAGTAAAAAGTGGCTATCACCTGACAGCTCTTAGTTCTGCTTAGGAATGGCACATGTCAATTCTCACACTGGACAGAGCAAAGCAGATGTCATGGCTAACCTTGAGGGCAATGAGATAAGGATGTATAATCCTCCCATAGACAGGAGCAGCAAATCTTTTTGAACAATAATAAAGTGCATCAAACCATTTGTATGTGATCAATGGATATCTAATAGACCTCTCAAACTCAACAGTCCAAAGCTGATCTCTTGACCCTCCCCCGATCCCATACATCCCATCTGCCCCCACAGACTCTTGATAATAAGTCCATCTCTCTGATTGCTGATGCCCAAATCCTTGAAGTTATTCTTTTTTTTTTTAAGAAATTTTATTGGGGAACAGTGTGTTTTTCCAGGACCCATCAGCTCCAAGTCAAGTAGTGGTCTTTAATCTAGTTGTGGAGGGCGCAGCTCCTTGGCCCATGTGGGAATCGAACCGGCAACCCTGGTGTTATGGGCCTGCGCTCTAACCACCTGAGCTAACTGGACACCCCCTTGAAGTTATTCTTGATACTGCGCTCACACCACACATCCAATCCATCAGGAAGTCCTGTCGGCTCTGCCTTCGGAATCTAACCACTTCTCACCACCTCTGCTGTTACCAACCTGGTGTGAGTCACCATCATCTCTTGCCTGGACAACTGCTATACCCTCCTGTCTGGTCTCCCTGCTTCTAGCCTTGCCTCTCCTGCCTCCAGTCTATTCTTAACACAGCAGCCAGAGTGATCCTTCAGAAATCAAAGGCAGAACACATCACTCCCACCGCTCAAAACCCTCCAATGGCTGCCCATTTCTCTGAGTAAAAGCCACAGCCCTTACAGTGGTATGCAAAGTCCTACATGTGCTGGCCCCTCTGTTATCTCTCTAATGTCATTTCCTACCTACCTCCTTCACTCACACACTTGCCACCCACTGTTCCCTTGAATGTGTGCCCCTCATGTCCACCTTAAGGCCTTAGCACTTGCTGTTCCCTCTGCTTGGAGTGCTTTTCTCCTAGATATCTGCATAGGTGACTCCCTCACCTTCAAGTATTCACTCAAATATTACCTTCTCAGTTATGCCTCCCTTGACTTCGATATTTAAAATTGCATCCCCTCCCCCATTTCCTTGGCACTTTCAGTTCCCCTTATCCCATTCTATATTTTTTCCCATAGCACTTATCATCATCTTATAAACTATTTAATGTACTCTTTATTGTATATCTTCCCCCACTAGAAAGTAACCTCCACAAGGACTCAGATTTTTATCACTTACACTCCTTGATGTCTCCCAGAGCTTAATGGAGTGTCTGACAGAAAGAACTCCACAAATACAAGGTATGATCAAACAATACGGTGAATGTTTAAATTTAAAAGATTTATTACAGTAAAAGACACATTGCCATTAATCTCCCTCAAAATACACCCCCTTGCTTCGAACACACTTATCCCATCATTCTTGCCACTTTCTGAACCAGTTCTGGAAGTCCTCTTTCGGGAGTGTCTAGTTGCACTGTCGTGGCTGCCTCGATGTCCTGAATCGATTCAAAACATTTTCCTTTCATGGTCATTTTCACTTTGGGGAAGAGCCAGAAGTTGCATGGTGCCAGATCCAGTAAGTAAGGTGGATGAGAACACACCGGAATGTTTCTTTTTGACAGAAATTGCCATACCAGTAGCGATACCGTATTTCCCCATGTATAAGACACTCCCATGTATAAGATGCACCTTAATTTGGGGGCCTGAAATTTGAAAAAAAAATATATTACATTAAGTTATTGAACTCAAGTTTTATTCATCATAAAATTCATACAACTCCTAATAGTTAACTACAATATTGCCACAGGGATATGAAAGACATTTTGAGGAATATAATTAATAATGTTGTAAATATTTTGTAGCGTGTCAGATGGTCACATGTCTTGCTAGGGAGACCGCATCATGGAGGGGGTAGAGGCTTGATCACTGCACTGTACAACTGAAGCTGATGTTGTATAATATTGTATGTCAACTCTAAGTGAATATATATATATATATATGTATATATATAGTCATGGGATGTGGAGTATAGTGTGGGAGTGGAGTCAATGGAATTGTAATAGACATGTATGATATTGGGGGGGGAAGTGGGGCAGCAGATTGGGGGAGAGGGGTTGTCACTTCGAGGGGTAAAAAGTATAACTATTACACTGTGTTGTATAGCTGAAACATGCTAAAACATGTATTTCACAATAAAAAAGAAAAAAGAAAAAAAAGAATTAAAAAGCAAAACAAAAAAAAAATCATACAACTCTTCATCACTGTCAAAAGTCTACAACCACTGTATATGATGCACCCAGTTTTTAGACCCCACATTTTTCGGAAAAAAAGGTGCATCTTATACATGGGGAAATACGGTATATGACAGGGAGCATTGTCAAGATGGAGGATGAAGTAGAGACACTCACGAAAGAGGACTTCCAGAACTGCTTCAGAAAGTGGCAAGAATGATGGGATAAGTGTGTTCAAAGCAAGGGGGAGTATTTTGAGGGAGATTAATGGCAATGTGTCTTTTACTGTAATAATTTTTTTTAATTTAAACATTCACCGTATTGTTTGATCACACCTTGTATATTCTAATATTTCACAGTTACAAAATGGTTTAAAAAAAAAAGACTGGAACTAGCTATAAGAGGAGTTGAGGAATGGTATTTCAAACAAAAGAACTGCAGTGTATAAAGGCCGAGGTGGGAACAGTTGTTTTATTGGAGGACTTGATGGGAAGCCAGTGTGCCTGGAGCACTGTAAGCAAGGGAGCCAGCCACATGAGATGAACTCGAAAGATGTGCAGGGACCGGATCTTGAAAGCCCACGGTTAGGACTTTGGATCTGATTCTAAGGGCAGTGGAAGCCAGTAGAGGGTTTTAAGAGGGTGAGAGACATGATCAGATTTATGTTTGCAAAAGTGTCTTTGGCTGGCTCACATGCCAAAAGTGGACTTCCCACAACATGAAGGAACACAAGCAAATTCTAAGCCCTCTAGCCTTTCATTTGACTATAGAGTAAGTAATACAAATAAAGGGAGAATGGTGGCACCAGTTACTGAAATGGGAAAAAACTGAATAAAGTATAATGTGAAAGGGAGAGTGCTGTGAGTTTGAGGCTTGGTAAGGTGAACAGGGATCAGATCATGGAGACCCTTACACATCTAGCAGAGGGGGTAGGCTTTATCTTGGAAACACTGGGGAGCCATTTAAACGTTTTAAGCTGAGGGGCACCATGGTCAGATTTGCTTTTAGAAGGATCACTCTGGTAGCCAGTGTAGAGGAAAAAATAAAGAGGGGAACACGGGGCAGGGGCGGGTGCTGATGCTTCTGAGAATATTGTCTGGCACCAGATTGTGAGGCCTGAATTAGGGTGGTGACAGCAGAGCTGGATGACACAAATATGAAATATATCAGGAAGTAAAATTAGTAGGAATCAATAACTCGTGAGAGACTGTGGGGACAAAGGAATGGGAATAGGAGTGTAGCGCTGGTGGGCCATCCCACCTCCCCCTTGTTTCAGATGTTTAAGCTGAACCTGCCCCCAGATCCTAAGGAGGCAGCAGCCATTGAAGCTAGACGAAATCGAGAAAAGGAGCGACTGAGCCGAATCTTCAATGTGCGGGATCGAGTCTTAGGGGTAAGTGGGCAGTGGGAACTTTCTTGGAACCAAGAGCCACCTCACTCTTGCACCTGGAGAGGAACATAGCAGTGCCTGGTACAGCACCTCCCTGATTCGGGTAGGCCCTAGGGCTGGAAAAGGAGAGGGGGAGAAGGCACTCACCCCCAGTGGTGGGAAGGGTCTGGGAAGGAGGCTGGGGCTTCAGGGGAAGAGGAGTTGATGACAGCTGACTCTTTAGCCAAGTGGCCTGGTTCTCGAGAGACAAGGAACATGGAGCCAAAAGAAGTATAAAGGATATTTGGTATTGCGTATGCCTACACTCTCTCTGGAAGGCTACCTAAGAAACTGTTAACCGGGCTGAGGAACCGAAGAGGGAGGGACACTGACCTTTCACTAAACTATATACCCTTTGCACTATTTTGAAATATTTTAAATGAATTATAATCAAAGAAAATATTGATAGTTTAAGAAAAATAGATTGCACGGTATAGAGGCTTGACTGCTTGCACTGTACACCTGAAGCTGATGTTGAATAATATTGTATGTCAACTATAATTGAATATATATATATATATAGTCACGGGATGTGGAGTACAGTGTGGGAGTGGAGTCAAAGGAATTGTAATAGATATGTATAATATGGGGGGGAGTGGGGTGGTGGATTGGGGGAGGGGGATTGTCACTCTGTGAGGGGTAAAAAGTATAACTACTGCACTGTTTTATACACCTGAAACTAATTTCGAAAAATTGGTATATATATATATATATATATATATATATATATATATATATATATATATATATATATATATATATAAATAGATTGCTGGGTGGTTGCATAGTGGGAGGATGCAGCATGGTATTCCGGAAAATACCCCATACCTGTGCTCAAGGGCCAGGTCTGCTGTTTATTAGATGTGTGGCTTTGGCTAAATCACCTGTCTTCTCTGAGCTCCAAGCTCCTCCTTGGTAAAATGAAGCTAACGGAAGTGTTGAGGTGAGTATTAACACATGGTGGTGGCTCTGGAAACCAGAGCAGAGTACCTGACAGAAGTGAGTTGTTGGCTGAGGGATGAGTGGTGTGATTGAGATCCAGTTGGCAAGCATTTCCTAGGGCTTTGTCTGTGCCAAGCACTGGGTTGCACAGTAGGGAGACAAAGCTAAGGCCTAGCCTCTGCCCTTAATGGGCTCACAGTCTGGTGGAGGAGATCATCGATAGAGGCAAACTTCAATATATTGTGGACGGTGGGTCCTAGATCCTGTGGGATTAGCACCTGCCAGAGGACTCAGGAAAGCGAAGCCTGAGCTGGCCTTGAGGGATGAAAGTTATTTGGGTAAAGGGGAGAAAAGAGTATTCCAAGTGGAGGGAGCAGCTGGAGCAAAGGCTGTCCGTCCAAAACACCTAAGATGTTGGGAGAACTATAAGCACAGAGCTCCTGGGAGTGGGGCAGGGGAGGAGGGTATGGAGATGAGGCTGGAGAACAAGGCAGAGGCTAGACCATCGAGGGGCTTACAAACCACACTGAGATGGTGGAACGTTATCCAGTAGGTACTGGGGATCTACAGGGTGATTTTGAAGCAGGTAAATGCTGAACAGATTGTGTTAAGAGCAGTCAAGGCCTGCTGCTGCTCACCTCCATCCCCCAATTTAGCTCATTTCTTTGCGACCAGGTTGATGTGGCAGCCCTGAATAACCAGGTGGAAGAGAAGAAGCTTTGGAAGGCAGCAGAGCAGAACAGGGAAGCAGCTTACGGTAAAAGCATAAGGCCAGAGGCCAGCCAAGGAGGATAGTGTAAGGGCCTGAGTGGGCTGAGGTAAGGCAGTTCTGCCTCAGAGGCGGGCCTAAGGCCCGGAGTGTGGTGGGACAAACCAGATAGGCCTCAGGAGCACAGGCCGTGCTGAGTGGGCTCTGTCCCTCCTGGGGGGCCTTCTTCATGTCCCTGCCTACCACCCCAAGGTACCAGCCAGGTGCAATATGGTGTGGTAGCCCAGATGCTAGAGAAAGAAGAGGCAGAACGGACACGTCGCCTGGCCAAAAAAGTCCAAGAGTTTCGGGAGCAGAAGCAGCAGCAGCAGCTCAAAAACAAGAATGAATTTGACCTTTGGAATCCAGACCAACTCTGGAAGCAGTTTCCAACCCATGCCGGTGATTATGGTCCCTGCTACTGGCCAGCCAGCCTGCCATACTTCTCTGTTGACGACGCGTACAGGGCCGCGTACCTGAGAATGCAGCAGGAGCAGTTCATGTACAACCTGGAGAAACAGAGGCTAGAGCAAGAGCAAGCCAAGGCTTATAAGCAGTATATAGGTAAACCGCTGGGGCCCCCAGGCAGGGAGTTGTCCTGAGTGGGGTACAGCATGCAGGAGACCACAACTGTAGGGGGAGGTCCGATTACTCATAGGACTTCTGCTGAGAGACTGAGCAGACCCCAGCCTCCCTCCCTGGCTTCCTTCAGTCACTGACACTGTAGCCATTGGTCCTCTATCAGCCCGGCATTCCATTACCACAGTGACGACAGACCTAATAGCTCTGCCACTTACCCAGCATGTTTGGACAAATGCATTTTCCTCTCTGTGCTTCAGTTTCCTCATCTTTAATACGGGGATGATAATCCAAACCACATAGAGCTTGTATGAGAATGAAATGAGATTCTGTATGTGAAGCACAGCATCAGTGCTCAATAACCAGCAGCTACTATTACTAGGACATTATCTGTGGCCACATCCTCCATTAGAGTAAGCCCTTCAAGGGCAAGGATCATCTCATATCTACCCACACTGCTCACCTTTCAAACCGCCCCTATTATAGAACTCTGTTCTGTTGTACCACTTATCATAGATGTAACTAACTCTGCAAGTATTTATGGACTGTCAGTCTTCATCCCCAAAATGTCAGCTCACTAAAGATGAATGACATCTCTCATTTCCACCCCTGTATCCCAGTGGCCTAGTACATTGCCTGCCACAGTGTGAGGAGCTCAGTAAATCACTGTTGAATGAACAGTTGAAGACCAAAGTAAACAAGACAGGTGCCCTGCCCTCCAGAAGCCCACAGAACTATGCCTTCCACAAAATCAGCTTAGAATAAGAGGAAAACATACATGCAGAAGTCATTCATCAGCAAACATTTCTGCTTTAACACTGCTAGTTACTCTGACAGGTACTGTCATAGAAGTGCATATAGGACATGGAGGGAACATGGAGTGGTCACTTCTTACAAGGAAAAGAGAGGCAGGGTAGGAGGGTGGCACAGGTCAGCTATCAGGAACCAGTTTTGAAAAATTGGGTACAATTTTGCCAGGATGAGGAGAGGGAACAAGAAAAGGCCCTTCTAGGCAGACGGGGTAGCAAGAGGAACAGCACCAGGGCTATGAATGGTCTAAGGGTTTAGGATACACAAACAGTTTACTGTCAGCACAGCCCAAGGTTGAGAGCTTGGAGGAAGAGAAAACAGGCAAGAACCTTTTCCACCAAACTAAGGAATTGTGTAGGCAGTGGGTAACCACTTAAGAGTTTTAAGCAGAGTGAAAAGACCATTTCAATATTCAGCAAATATTAAGCTACCTACTTTGTGCCCTACACAGTGAACAAAACAGAAAAATCCTTGCTGGCATGGAGTTCACACTCTAATGGGGACAGACAGATAATAAACAGGATAAAATAGTGAAATATTTAAGGTGGTTGAGATAATTGCTAGGGAGAAAAATAAAGCACAAAAGGGGATATGGGGACTTTGGGAGGAGGGCACACAGTTGCAATTTTAAATAAGAAAAATCTCACTGACACAACATTTAAATACAGATCTGAAGATGAGGAAGTGAGCAGTGCAGCTATCTGAGGCAAGGGCTGTCCAGATAGAGGAAATAGCTAGTGCAAAAGCCCTGAGGCAGGAGAAAGGGTGTCTGGAATATCTGAGGAATAGCAGTGGGGCCAGAGGAGCTGCAGTAAAGTGAGTGAGGGGAAGAATGGTAGGAAGTGACATCAGAGAGGTGAGCGGGGCCAGATCAGGTAGGCCTTATGGGCCATGGCGAGGACTTGAATTTTTACTAAGTGAGGTAGGAGCCACCGGAGGGTTTTGAGCATTGGAGTCACATGATTTGTTTTAGACAAATAACTCTGTCAGCCACTGTCGAGGTTGGATTAGAGGGGGAAGGCTAGAGGCAAGGAGATCAGGTAGAAGACTAGTGCAGCCAAGGGGAGGTGGCTTACAGGAAGCTGTGTAGCTATATGATCCTGAAGTTCCAGGGCCAGTCTGGGCTACAGGGAGAGATCTGGGGGCCATGGCAGTGGGGAGGGGGTGTGCGAATGAGCAGAATGCTAAGCCTAGAGCCTGGGGAAAAGGTGAGCAAATGATGCAAGACAAAGACCAAAGCTGTCTCGTTAACCACTACAACCCCGGTGACTTACACAGGGCCTGGTACATAGTAGATGCTCAATGAATGTATCTTGAGTAAATGAATGAGTACAGGAAAAGGAGCCCATAATAAAGACTGAGAAGGAATCAGTGAGGTAGGACAAAGATGCATAAAATAATAATCATAATCATAATAATAGCGAACCTTTATTGAGCACGTACTGTGTACCACATACTATGCTTTCTCCCATGTATGTAACTCATTTAATCATCACAACAGCCCTATGAGGCAAATACAAGTATTATCCCTACTTTCAGCAGAGGAAACTGAAGAACAGGGATGTTAAATAACTTGCACAAACTCATATAGCTAGTGGGTGATGGAAGCCGGAAGTGAACTCAGGCAGGCTGGCAGCAGAGCCTGTGCTCTTGACCACTACTCCTTACTTTCCTTCTCGGTCTCCATGAGAAAGTGGGGACTCGGAGGCCCAGAGGGGAGTTTCAGAGAGGGAGTCATTAAGAATGCCAAATGCCCTGGAGCAGCCCAGACAGGAACAGAGCCCTGTGTACTGGATTTGTCAGAGCAGTTGCAGCGGCACCCTGGGGCCAGCTGCCCGATGGCAGCAGGCAGGCGTATGAGAAGGCAGAGCGGGGGACAGCGCTATGCTGAGTGACAGTCAGTGTAGTGTGATGGAAGGAGCATGGGCTGATTCCTCCAGATCCCTGGGTTCAATCCCAACCTGCTACTTGCCAGCTGTGTAACCTTGGGTATTTTACTTCACCTCTCAGCTCTGTGTTCCCATCTGAAAAAACGGGGGCTGAGCCTTTCCTCTCCAGGTTGCTGTGAAGAGTGAAATGAAGCCGCAGGCCCCTATTGTCTCTTCTCCCCACCCCCAGCCCTCCAGCCTCTGAAGTCCCCGTCCTTATGCCTCTTCAAAGCCAAGCCTTCTGCCTGTGCTCTGGGCCCCATTCTCCATGCCCTGCCCCCCAGTGTCCTCTCCCCTGTGTTCTCAGGACTTCCCCTTCCATTGGCTCCTTCTGTGCAGGCTGCAAACACGCTTACGGCTGACCCATCTTAAAGGAACAAAAGCCTCCCTCCACCCTGTGATTCCTAGATCCTGGGAGCGAGCTGTTTTCCTTCACAACCATACTTTTTTGAAATATCTGCTTCCACTTGCTGTCTTTTCTTCCTAACTTTTCAGTCACACCTCAACCCCCTGGGATCTCATTTCTCCCCACACTACTTCACCCTCGCTACTCACTAAAATCACCAATGCCCTTGGTGTTATCAGGTCTAAGAGGCTCTGTTTACTCTTCTCCTTGACTGGACCTTGCTTGCTACACTTGACTCTGGTTATTTCTTCCTTCTTCAACCTACCTCTCTACTCCGTGACTTCTGTGACAGCACATTCTGCTTGTAGCTCTCTGACCACCCTTCTCTGTCTGCCCATTGTGAGCTCCTCTTCCTTCTACTCCTTCCTTCTTGAGATTTTTGTCCCTAGCACACTGCTCCCCCTATGCTGCATACTTACCTCAGGTGCCCTCAGCCCTCATTCTGGTTTCAGCTACCATGTCACCACCTCTGTGTTGCCTCTCTACCTGCAGAATCAAATATCCAGATGCCTGCTGACCACCTCCAACCCAGCTTCCTAAACAGAATTTATCAGTGTCCCCTAACTTGCTCTTCATTCTGTATCTTCTACTTCCAGTGGTAGCCACACCATGCATCCGGTTAACTAAGCCAGGACCCAGGGAAGCATCCCTGAATCTTCTCTCTCCCCTACTCCCTCATTCGATCCATCAAGTACGGCTAATGTAACCTCCTACATATTGCCCCTCCATCCTTTCCATCACTGGCCTAGTTTGAGCCCTCCCCACTGGCCTGCTGCAATAGCCTCCAAGATGGCTTCCCTACCTCCATTGTCTCCCACCAGAAGGAGCTTTCTAAAATGCAAACCTGTGTCATCCCCTTGCTTAAAATCTTCCCATGTTCCCCACCACCCTCACGTGAAGTTTCTGGCCTTAGTCTGACCCCTGCAAAGCTCTCTAGCCACTTGCATTTTATGCTTCATAGTAGGTGCTCAAATGAATTCATTGAGCACCTACTATGTGACAGGCTCTGACCTAGGTGCTAATGCATGGTAGTGAATAAAACAGACAAAAACCCTGCTCTCACAAAGGTTACCTTTTAGGGACGAGAGAGAGGGGCAATAGACAAAACAATTTAAAATGTGGAGTATATTGGATGGTGACAAATGCTAGGGAGAAAAATCAGGGAAAGGGGATAAATGTTGGAGGCAGGCAAGGTTGCAATTTTAGGTAGGAGAGAGAAAGCCTCACTAAAATGGTAACAACTGAGCAAACATCTGAGGGAAGCAAGTGAGATAAGCCAAGAATAACCTCTATTGAAACTCCCTGAAGCAGGAGTATCTGGCATGTTCTAGAAACAGCAAAGTCAGTATAGCTGGTTTATAAGTGTCAACACCTTTGCTCATGTTGCACCTGGAATGCTCTTTGCTCTTTCTGCCTATATGCAACATGTATGTCAAGGATCACCTCCTCCTGGAAGCCTTCCTCTCACCCACCATGCAAAGCTCTCATAGCTCTCATAATGAATACCCTGTACACATCTCATTGACCTTACCACATTGTAGTTTGATGACGTATGTTTGCTCTGTCCTCCTCACTAGACAGGGAGTTCTCTGAGGAACATGATCTATTTCTGTGGTTTCCCCAGAACCCAACACATGGCCCTTAGACTGTCAGGCTCAGAGAAATGAAATGATTTCCCCAAAGTCACGCAGCTCAGAAGCAACAGAGCTGCATTGGGACCCAGCTCTAATGGAGGCCTCTTTCAGTTAGGCACTTGAGAAATCTGTTACTGCCACTTTGGCTATCCCCAGTCCCACAGAGTAACTCCTTCCCCATCCCTACAATTAGGACATCACCCCCATTCCCAAACATACATACACACATATCCACAAAGCTTGTTGAACAAAATGGCTGAATGAGTGAACCGGGAAAGCAGGCTAGTATGGTGCCCTTGTCATATTTCTCTGTGTAGATAAGCTCAATGATGAGCTGCGCCTATCCATGGACACTTGGGCCATCCAGAATTCCAGGTGGGAGGATGCCTGTCGCACAGCCATGATGTCTGCCATGGCCAACACCAACAAAGCCAAGGTATGGCCTGAGTCATCCAGTGCTCTGGGCTCTCCCCAACCCCCTGAACAAAGTTCTGGGGCACCTTAGCCACATCTCTCCCCTCACAACCCTTCTTGAATCAACACCAGCCAATCTCAGCTACCCGAGGACTTGCCCCTTTACCTTCTGCCCTCGTAGGGCAGAAGGTGCCATTCCCTACCTCCAGAGTCAGGATGACTTGAGAATAGAACATTGTCCTCCCTTCCCCAGCCTCCCAGACTTCCAGAGGGCAGGGAAGTTTCCTGCCCCATCCCCCCTCCACCTTAGGGCATTCAAGGGCCACGCAACATCTCTGTTCCTTCTCTCCCTGAGTTGGAGGAGAAGAAGGCCATGTCTCCTCCTCCCCTGCGAGTGAGAGTTCCCTGAGGTTGGCTTTATATTTAGGGGCCCCACCAGGCAGCTGAGCTGGCTGAGCAAAAGCGCCATGAGCATCAGCCCAAACAGGAGGCCAACTTCGTGAAGATCCAGAACCAGAGCATGAATGACATGCTGACTGAGAAACCCAACGTCGCCCGAAACCCTGTGAATCCCCACCGGGTCCTGGCCTGCTGCTGGAAAGGCGTGACTTCAAAGCAGCAAGCTGCCATTACGCGAGCCCAGGAAATGCAATGTAATGAAAAAAAGGCACAGCACCAGGCCCAACAAGCACAGGATGCCGAATGGGGAAGCCAGACCACGTGCCTGGCCCAAGCAGCCATGGAGCTAGAAGAGCAGGAGAGGCTACTGTGTGCTGAATTTCGGAGGGGGCTGGGCTCCTTCAATGTACTGCTGGCTTCAGAGCACAATTCCCAGTGAGTTCTGGGGGTGGCAGCAGGGATGAATGCCAAGGGAGGCAGGGAGGAATGGGGAGGGTCAGGGAGAGAGGGAAAGCCCATCAGCTGAGGCTGCTGAACTTCTTTCACAGGGAGAGATACCTGAATTCAATAATCTACAACAATCAACCTATATCCAGATATCGCTAACAGTTCAACACCAGCAGCCGCTGAGCTCAGGATGGTTCTCTCTCCCTTCCCCATCAAGCTCACAGAGGCTGAATCAGGAAAATGCTGCAGACCCCCTCCCCCAATCCATTCCCCAGTGGGAGAGAGCTGAGCCAGTACCCCTACCTTTGACCCTAGGTAATAAAGGTATCCACTAAAATCAAGGCCACGTGTTGTAATAGGACACAAAAGGTTTGAGGTATTTACTGCCTTTCCCACGCCACCCCTGGGATCTGAGCATCCAGCCCTGTCAGTCTCCACCCTTTCACCTTTCTTCCCAATGCCAGTTCCCCCAGAACACAGCACTACCCACTCCCTGTGAGAAACAGAGACTTTATTAGGCACAGAGGGTGACTGGTAGGCAGTTACAAAATGGCTACTGGGCATCCTCCCAAGCTGGAGTACAGTATGCCAGAGGAAGGAAGGGTGGAGGAGTATGTGTTTTCTCGGCCTTCTCCCTTCAAGGCTGCATGCGGATAGCCCCATCCAGCCGGATGACCTCTCCATTGATGAATGGATTCTCAATGATGGCCTGTACCAGATGAGCATACTCAGCAGGGTCGCCCAGTCGTCTGGGGAAGGGCACCTGGCTGGCCAGGAAGTTGCGCACTTTATCTGGGAGGCTGGTCAGCAGCGGGGTGCCAAATAGGCCTAGACAAGACAGCCAGAGTCAGAGGCCTGCCCTTGCTTTCATGTTTACCTGGTCCTGCCACCTGAGCCCTACTTGTGGTGCTTCCCTAAGCCTGGAGATAGAAGGCTGCTGCTGCTTAGGAGGTAGATCCTTTCCCTTCACAGTTGCCCATGGATCCTACCCAATCCCAGGTGTGGCAGGGAGGGGATATGTCTACCTGGAGCAATGGTCATCACCCGGATGCCCATGGGAGCCAGATCCCGAGCAATGGGCAGTGTCATGCCCACTATGCCCCCCTTGGAAGCAGAGTATGCAGCTTGTCCAACCTAGAGAAGGAGTGGAGGTCATAGGTGGGAGAGCCCCAACAAGTCACTGAGGAGACACAAGCCTTGGCCCTGCCCACACACCTGGCCCTCAAAGGCAGCCACGCTGGCAGTGTTGATGATGACCCCACGTTGGCCTCCCTGGTCTGGTTCATTCTGGCTCATCTCACCAGCCACAAGACGGATCACATTGAAGGTGCCTAGGAGATTCACCTGGAGGACCGGTAGAGACATGGTTAGGACCTGAGGCAGAGGCAGCTTTTTTCCCCTAAAAGCTTTGAGGGGCACCCACAGCCAGCGACCTCTTACTCCTACCCCTGGAGAATCTCTAAGGCCTTACATGGAGAACTCGCTGGAAGTCCTCCAAGGTATGAGCCTGGTTCCTTTTTGAGTTGTATGTCTTGATGGCAATTGCAATGCCTGCACAATTGACTGCAACATCCACACGGCCAAACTTTTCTTTTGCTAGACTCAGGGCTGTTTGCACGTCCTTCTCTGAGGTCACCTTCGAAGGGAAAAGTGGAGAAGGTATTCATCTCCCAGCACACACACACAGCACTAAATCTATGCGACCGGAGGGCAGAATTATGTAATCAAGGGAGAGGCCAAGGGAAAACGAGAGTGGGGTAAAGCTGAAAATGTTAGGTACTACAGAGCAGTGTTTCAAAACATTTTTCAAATCTATACCTTCTTTTCCTCAATTCACATACCCATAGAGATTCTCAATTGCTGTGGGTCAGAGCACTGTTTTGAGAATTATTGATATAAAGGTAGACTAGTTTTGTACCCCTACCTGCTAAGATGATTTTATCAAGCTTTACTGTCTGTACTTTGTTTCATGAAAAGCTTTTTGACTTCGTAAATATAAAACTACAGGGCACCACATGCACTGCTAAACTACACATACCGCCTCCAGAAGATTCTGACGTGTCCAATCCCCATCCCCACTGTTGTGAAGGGAAAAGAAGTTGGGTCCACTGCTCACATAAACAGCACCCTATGGGAGGGGGCCCCACGGATTCCCAGGCCAGCGTCCCCGACTTCATGCACACCCTGGAAGAGGTGAGGTGACCCCACTTACGTCAGCTGGGGTGAAGGCGCAGCTCTTCCCTAACTTCTTGGCCTGGGCCTCCCCATCCGAGGTGGGCAGGTCCAGAAGCACAACACTGGCCCCCTGCCTCACCAGTCGCTCTGCTGTGGCAAGGCCTAAGCCCGAGCCTCCGCCAGTTATTACGGCGACCAGGTCCTGTGAAAGAACGGTCAAAGGCTACAGCGCTGTGCAGCCACTTTCATCTGCCTGTTCTCCAAGCATCTGCGAGAGAGGCTCCCGGTCACCCTTGAGGTGATACCTAGGTGTGCTTCCTCTCCTTACCAATGCGGTCGCTAGGTTTCTCATCCCCGGACAGCCATCCAGTCACCCTCCACACACGTGAAGTGCAGAGTTGACCTTCACCTCCCGAGCCCCACCACCGCAATACCAGGCCTGGATATGCGTGGCCCTTTCTCCCAACACCGATCTCTTCCCTCTAGGTCCACTGCTGCGCCGTCGCAGCCAGTGCAGCAGGGCAAGCCGCAGGGGCGAGGGCCGGTATACCTTCACGGTCCTACACACCGCAGCCATCTTACGCAGTCCTCTGCAAAGGCAGGGCTGCTGATGCACGCTGATTGGCCGAGGCAAAGCCGCGTGGTGGGCGGGCTCGGCGAAGGGGGGCGGTGCTCCGCGCGTGAGCAGCGCGGGTGCGGGCAGCCTGGGTTCCCTGCCGAGAGGGCTAGGCAGCGGCTAAGTGCTCTGAGAGAGTTGTTTCAGCTGCCGAAGAACCTAAGAGCGGCAGCACAATAGCACCACATCCTCCGTCCGACTCTCTAGCTGTCTCGGGGGCAGGAGGCTAGCTCCGTGGGGGTGGGGGTGGGGGTAGAGACAGGAGATTGAGAGAGTGTTCCTCTCCTCAGAAAAAGCCTTTATTCAAGTATAAACATGTCTGAGAGACACTTATATGCTGGGCTTTGTGCGGGACACTGGAGATATCCAGAGGAATAATAAAGGGTTCATGCTTTCCAGGAGGGCACAGTTCAGTTGGAAAAGAGATTACAGCACAGACACAGACAGAAGAGGACAGAGAAACAGATTCTGGGACACAGACATTGATATCCAAAGATGGAGATTCTGAGAGCCATATAGATAGAAATATGTTGAGGAAGAGAGTGAGAGGAACAGATGCCAGGCCAGATCACAGAGATATGGATGTGGAGAAGCTAGGAGGCAGACATTTGGAGAAAGAGCTGCTGAAAAACACAAGCCGGGAGAGGCATACACAGAAAAGCAAAAACATCTTTTATCCTTTCAACCTTTGTTCAACTTTACAACTTTACAACCAAAAGTGCAACCGTTGCTACTATCCTCTGTGTCTAATGTCTTTAAACCCAAAAGCACAGATCACGCATTGCAAATTGGACCTCAACCAGAGGCTGTCATTTAAGACTCAGGTCTTTGGTCATCCAAGAACACCTTTCAACCAGCACCCCAATTAGAATCTTGAGCCCACCTAATCTACCTAATCTGACTTCCTTCTATACTTCTCCACAAACCAAGGTCTTCAGGCCATAAATCTTACTCTACATTTTCACCCCCATTCGGCTTTCTGTCTCTGTTTCCTCTATCTGAAGCATCTCCCCATGTGCTTTCTCACTCAGGAAGACTTCCCTCTGGGCCTCCTGATTGTTGAAAACTACCACACACATGGCCACTACACCATGTTCATTGAAGGGTTTAGTACTAGATTCACAACCTTTCTAACTACATGAAGTCCTTCCAGCAATTTATAGCCCTCCTCACGGGGCCCAATATGCTCCAGCCACAATGGCCTCTTTGTGTTCATCTTTGCATTAGCTGTTCCCTCTGCTTGGAATGCTCTTCCCCTGATCTTTGCATAACATCTATCTATCTATCTATCTATCTATCTATCTATCTATCTATTATTCAGAACTAATCTTAAATGTCACCTCCCCTTCCTGACCACTCAAGCTGTAGCCATCTAGTTACTATCCCATTGTGTTGGAGGAGGTCATCAAGAGAATGTGACCACCAGTTTACCCGCCAGCTGGACCCAAGCAATCAATGCCTCCTCACACCCGACTCTGCTTAGAATGTATGCTCTGCCCACCATTCCACAGCTAGAGCTCTTTTAAGGAAGGACACAGCCTTGAGAGAGTAAGGTGGTGCTGAGACCATCTGGATAGTATATGTGACTGAACCCATTCAAGGCCTCTATATAAACTTTTAAAATTCTGATGGGCGAATGTGGATATGGGCTCGTCTTGTGGCCACCCAAGACAAGCCTCATATGTAAGTTCTCTTGCTTATTAAACCTGCCACCTACCAATCTGGAATGGTCTGCCTCTTTTTTCCATCTCTCCTTGCCCTCTGCGCATGGGAGCAAGTTTGCAAACCAACACATTGCATATCTGAATTCTCTGCAAAGCACTTACAGGTCCATAGTCTTTTTTTCCAACCTTAGGGCCAGATTTGTTTCGGAATTCAGAATTTTTTCAAGTTTAGAAAGGAAGACATATACTCAATATTACATAACTCTATATACTGCATGTACTCTACGTTACATAACTACTGGGGAAAAATCTTGAGCATCACTTATAATTAAACATTAATATTTCTAGAGTGAAAAGTATGAAAATTCACACTAAGTGTGAATCAAGATTATAAATAGCCTCACACTACCTCAGGTCAGGTTTGGTCGCCTAATGAGTTTGGGCTCCAAAGTATGAAAAAACAACCTTATGCCTTTCAGCAATTTTGGCATTATGGAATTGTGCTTAAAGGCTTTTGAGCGTTATCTAATCTGGCCTGCTTGTGTGGGTGTTTGTGCAGTTCTTCCCCTGTTAGAAAGTAAGCCAATGGCAGCAGAATCTTGCCATGCTGGTTCACCTCTTGGCTACCCAATGCCAAGAACACTGCCTAGCATGTACTAGACAATACAAATGAATGAATGAATGAATCAATCAGTCAATCAATCAACAAACCAATCAATCTTGGGAGAATTTGCAGGCTCAGCTTCATGATTCCTTCATCTACTCAACTTAGGGGACCTTCACCTCCTCTCTACTTTAGCCACCTCCATCTAGGCCACATTATTTAACCTTGTCATGGCCTGGAATGACTCCCCCGTTCTCCCCAGCATCTACTCACCACC